CACCAAGAACCTCCATTAGCCGTAGTCAACTCTGGAATCTAGTTTCGATTCTTCCATCCCCAGTATTAATTCTGGGTGATATGAACTCCCATGGTACTGGGTGGGGCGATCTATATGACGACAATAGAGCGGCTATTTTTTACGATTTATGTGACGATTTCAATTTGACTATTTTGAACACTGGTGAAGCGACACGTATAGCAAAACCTCCGGCTCGAGAAAGCCGACTCGACCTATCTTTGTGTTCAAGATCGCTATCATTGGATTGTCAGTGGAAGGTTATCAATGATCCCCATGGTAGCGATCATTTGCCAATCATCATTTCAATTAAGTGTGCCCCTCACTCTGCAGAACCATCTCGTGTTCCATTTGATCTTACAAGGAACATAGATTGGCAGAAATATGCAACGGCGGTGACAATCGGTGTCGAATCAATAGATGCGCTTCCACCATTGGAAGAATATCGATTCCTAGCCGATTTGATTTACAAAAGCTCACTGGAAGCACAAAAAAGAAAAGTTCCAAGTGCACCCTTTAAAAGGAGACCAGCCACACCTGGTTGGGACGAAGAATGCACAAAATTGTATGTAGAAAAATCTGATGCTTTCAAAGCTTTTCGTAGACACAAAACCTCCACATACTTCGAGGAATATTCAAAGCTTGAGACAAAGCTGAAACAATTAATCAAAGCAAAAAAACGCGGTTATTGGCGCAATTTCGTCGAGGGACTCTCACGAGAAACCTCAATGAACACCTTGTGGAGGGTGGCTCGCAACATGCATAACCGCTCATCTTTCAATGAGAGTGAAGAATACTCCAACCGATGGATATTCGATTTCGCTAAAAAGGTCTGTCCGGACTCAGTTCCAGCACAAAATATTCTTCGAGAAGCGTCTCCTAGCGGCGGCTCTCTGGATAGACCATTCTCAATGCTGGATTTCGCTATGGCTCTTCTTTCATCGAACAACTCCTCACCGGGAAGCGATATGATTAAATTCAATCTTCTGAAAAATCTCCCAGATATCGCTAAAAGACGCTTGCTAGACTTATTCAATTCCTTACTAGAAAACAACATTATACCGCCTGAATGGAGACAGGTCAAAGTAATAGCCATTCGAAAACCTGGCAAACCAGCGTCTGACCAAAGATGAATACTAAGATGAAACTGTCGGAAGAAAAACTTTCTATTTTAGTGTCTTCTTTCACGGTCCCTTTCATCCAATGAGAACCCCCCGTATTCAAGGTAATTTTGTGGTTTTGCTGCCCCCTCGGAAGAGATGAAATTTTGCGCTCATTTTTATCAAAACAATCACACCAAAATCAGAGATGTCCCATTTTTTAATTACTCGATTAACAACTAATCGATTATTTTTTGCTCGCTGTGCTGCCATTTTTTCACGAATGAGAGTGCAGCACATGTTTGAAACGATCGGTGATGATCCTTTGGAGATGTTAATAAATATGATTATAAATATTTTACTTTTCGGTTCGTTAATCGATTAAACGATTATTCGAATGAAAATCGGACATCACTAGATGAATGTGAAACGTCATTTCAAATATAAGGCCGTTAATAAATAATGATACAATTTGAAAGGGACCGGGGCTAATCACAAATTACGTCTCCATGGTAACTGAAATAAACACGAGTGTTCACCGGTTGGTCTGACCATAACTCATACCGTCCGATTGCCATGCTTTCGTGCATTAGGAAATTGTTGGAGAAAATGATCCTTCGGAGACTCGATCAGTGGGTCGAAACAAATAATTTGCTATCAAATACACAGTTTGGGTTCCGCAAGAGCAAAGGAACAAACGATTGTCTAGCGCTGCTTTCCACAGATATTCAACTGGCCTTTGCACACAAGGAGCAATTGGCTTCAGTATTCTTGGACATTAAGGGGGCTTTTGATTCAGTTTCGATTGAAATTCTGTCAGACAATCTGCACAGATGTGGACTTTCTGGAATTTTAAATAATTTCTTGTACAATTTGTTGTCAGAAAAGCAAATGAACTTTTCTCTTGGAAAACTGACAACTTCCAGAATTAGTTACATGGGCCTGCCCCAAGGCTCATGTATCAGCCCTCTTCTTTATAACTTTTACGTCAAAGATATCGACAACTGTTTGGCAGAACAATGCACGCTAAGACAACTTGCAGATGACGGTGTGGTTTCCGTAAGAGGTCCACATGCCGTGGACTTGCAAGGACCATTGCAAAATTCCTTAGATAACTTGTCTTCTTGGGCTATGAATCTAGGGATCGAATTCTCGCCGCAGAAAACTGAACTGGTAGTGTTTACTCGAAAGCGGTACCCAGCCCAAATGCAGCTTAATCTTTTGGGCAGAAACATTACCCAATCATTGTCTTTCAAGTACCTTGGGGTCTGGTTTGATTCAAAGTGCACTTGGAATGCCCATATTACGTATTTGAAGCAAAAATGTCAGCAGAGGATCAACTTTCTCCGTTCAATTTGCGGCACATGGTGGGGTGCTCATCCGGGAGACCTCATAACGCTTTATAAAACAACTATTCTCTCTGTTCTAGAGTACGGTTCTTTCTGCTTTCAAGAAAAAGTCACCTAATAAAATTGGAACGAATTCAATATCGTTGTCTGCGTATTGCTCTAGGCTGTATGCACTCAACGCATAACATGAGTCTCGAGGTTCTGGCAGGAGTAACACCCCTCCAGAACCGTTTCTGGGAGCTCTCTCTCAGAATACTAATCAAATGCGGAGTGACGAACACACTTATAATTGCTAATTTTGAAGAAATTCTTGGGCTGAACACACAATCTCGATTTATGAGAATCTACCACCACTACATATCATCAGATATGTGTCTTCCTTGTTATACTCCAGACCGTGTTCACTTCACCAATCGCAGTTTCTCAATTGAATATGATCTGACCATGAAACAAGCAACTCATGGGATTCCCGATCAACTTCGACCTATTATTATTCCGCGTATTTTTACTGAAAAGTATCAACAAGTCAATTGCATAAAAAGATATTTTACAGATGGGTCCCGTCTCAATGGATCCACTGGTTTCGGTGTCTTCAATGAAAACTCTACCGCCTTCCGCAAACTTCAGGAACCTTGTTCCGTTTTTGTTGCTGAGCTGGCAGCAATCAACTTCGCATTGGGGATGATTTCCAACATGCCCGCAGACCATTACTTCATCTTCACGGATAGTCTCAGTTCGATTGAGGCTATTCGGTCGATGAAACAAGGTAGGCACTCATCTTATTTCCTTTCAAAGGTAAGAGAGCAGATGTGTGTGCTGGTCGAAAGATCATATATGATTACCTTTGTATGGGTCCCCTCACATTGCTCAATCCCAGGCAATGAGAAGGCGGACTCTCTCGCAAAGGTGGGCGCGCAGGAAGGCGAATTGTATGACAGGCAAATTTCACACGATGAATTTTACCATTTAGTGCGTCAGAGTACCTTTTCGAGTTGGCAAACCGATTGGGACACTGGAAATCTTGGACGGTGGTTACATTCAATTATTCCTAATGTTTCTTCGAGAGCGTGGTTTAAAGGCTTGGGCTTAAGTCGTGACTTCATTCGCGTGATGAGTAGACTTATGTCCAACCACTACTCGCTAGATGCTCATCTCAATAGAATAAACCTCGTGGACAGCAACATCTGCCGGTGTGGAAACGGTTACGATGACATCGAACACGCAGTTTGGCAATGTACGGATAATGACGCCGCCAGAGAGCGACTTTTGAATACCCTCGAGGCCCAAGGAAGACAACCCTATGTTCCTATCAGAGACGTGTTGGCAACCCGTGATCTCTGCTATATGCAGTCCGTTTATGTTTTTCTTCAAATGTCTAGTATAAGAATTTAATTCCTTTTGTCTTTTGTCTCTCTTTATTAGTTTTTGTTTGTCTTGTCCCCCCGTCTCGATGAGTCTCATCGTCGCCCACTGGTCACGCACCATAGCCGGTTGAACTCCGGACGAAGCTAGAACAGCACTACCGTTCATACTGGCGACAACGCTCTGATGAGACAACGAAACCCTACCCCAAGTTCCTCCCCTGATCCTATCCTTCGAAAATGTACCCTTCTAACCTCGAGTAAGCCGCGAGTAATCGGCCCAACTCCTACTAGACATAGAATTAAGTGAATTTTGTTACACACAGTGAACAATGAATTATCGGCTCCATAAAGCTAACGCGATTGAGCCTTCCAAATAAACGAACTAGATAAAAAAAAAAAAGAATTTGCAATGAAAACAACAAAAAACATTTTTGAAGCTACAAAATATAAATATTGAATTCAAAAAAAGTTATATTTGACATTGCAAAATATTTCAATAATATTTTTTTTTGGTTCAATAAGGTCAATTTTCTCTGCGTGTAGATATATCTATTGTGTGTAAATGTAAAAGAAAAACCCGAATTTATCCACCTATGGTGTGATCAGACCCTTCTTACTTATTCAAGTTTATTTATTTTATTGTCATTATCAGTGACCCCCGTGTCATCCAGTGACGCTACGCCACTGCCTGGGGGTACCCGGAATATATCCGGGTGTAGTCTATTTGGTGAGGCTACATCATGCATAGCACCCCTGTTTCTAACGCCCTAATTCAATTGATTCAGAATTAAAACATACGTTTTATTAAGCTATTTTGTTGCTGCAACCAAACCACGGTATTTGGAACTAAAAAATACGACGTTACCCTAGATCCGTGGTTTTTATTCTATCAACATTTTGTTTTGTACGGTGCAGCGGTGAATTAGAGTAGATCACGGTACATCTATTCAATCAATCGCAATGCACTATCGTCACCTTCTTGCCCCTAGTTCACATACAAGACAAGATAGTCGTATTAAGTCAATAACAACGAAAAACTTAAATTGGAATTGGTGAAATCATCATCATCATCACAGATCAACTAAATCAGTGGTGCTCATGCCCATTTTTTCAAACTTTGGTCATCACTGAACGAAATGAATATTGCTAATTATTACTTTCCATTACAGGCAGGATGACCAAAATATGATGTACCGCAAAAACCGTGGAGTAAATCAGGAGATGCCCTTACACGAAATAGAAGAAGAATCCCTATTCAGTTCTATTATGTTGTTCTTTGTTGCGCACGAGCTTTTAGGACGGTATAGGAATACATTTTATAATTAACATTTAGATTCATTAATAATTCATTACATTGTAACTACAGGCGACAATGGTGCTCAAAAGGAAACAACAGACTTTTGCTTAAAATGCTGGATGTAATCGTTCCCAAGTTGCGTTCTCCAATGTTTGAACCATATCGTGATATAATTAGTGAGTGCTTAGAGCAAACAACGTTTTGTTTGTTCGGATACCCTCCTAAGAAAGGAAGAACCCGACATCTTCAAGATCATGAGTCTACTATGGAAATTTTATCATGGGAAAGAGCAGTTCAGCTGTTTGATATATATCGTCCTGATGTTTTGCCGGAATTCAATTCATACAAGTATGTATATGTTTCAATACAAATACCGAGTTTTTTATTTTTGAAATTCATGTTAAATGTCCAAACGCAATGTACGCGTACGGGGAACGATAGCGGCAAGATTTGACAGTTGTCACAAATGACGCCAACATGTCTAGCCAGAGTCATTTTGCTTTTAACTAGTTTCCTATCCGCAGGGATGTCCCTTCCGTTGGTCATTTTTGACACCTCGCCGAAGGTGGAAGGTCTTAATCTCATACTAACCTGCATGGGAGACCAAGACTTTGACGATAGTGAAAGCATCACACATTCTGTTCTTTTATTCATTATTATTATTATTTAGCTTTATTTAGGAGGCCTTAGGCTGGTTCGCCTCCACTCTTTTATTCATTTGCCACGTCGTAGTACGTTTATATAAAGGCAATGTGTGCTTCTCTTGTAACATTTGCGAATACCCTTTATCTAGATAGGGCGCGTTGCGGTGGAATCATATAATAAATAGATAGAGAGCTGACCTCGAACTGAAGCATTTAGCTATAGAAAAGTATAATTTAAAACGGACGGAATTTCATTATCAGGTCAACGAAGAAAGGTAGGCCAATAAGTACAATAAGGAGATATAGAAAAACTAAAGCTGTAGACTGACTCATGGAACAAATAGGACACGGGGGGTCTGCTTAAGGCCCCTGTCTGGAAGTATTGTTGATATTATCCCCTTGCTGGGATGTTTTAGTACATCTGGGAAAATCTACAAAAATGGGCTGAAAAAAATATTTCATCGAAAAATCGAAGCACACTACGTTGTAGCATAACTTTCTGGCAACATGAAAGTTGTATTTTTTTTTTTGGAAAATCCCACCCACAAAAAAAATAGGTTGTTTTTCCGACAAGAAGACCACCCAATTCCGGTCACATGATTGCATAGGTGTGGACATCATGTGTTATCTTTCCCCTCTGATGGCTCTTGATTTTTCTTCTATAGTACCAGATAATTATATATTAGAAGATTCGTGAGAATATCAGGAATCTTTAAGTGACTCAAAATTTCAATTTTCCGACTTTTCCCGCTTAGTTTTTTTTTTTCATTTCATGCATACAATTTTTCCGCTTACATACCGGTATATGGCGAACAAGGCAAGGGAGAGAAAAAAGGTTGTACTATACACGAATGCGCGCGAGGTGCTTTCGGCTCGCATAATTTCTGCCGACGGCTGACAGGAGGATGCGATGTAGTGGTGTCGCATGTTTAGCAAAACATGATATAGGGGAAATGCAGGTAATGTCGGCCTAAGTGTCCCTAATTTGGGCCCATACATAAATTCAGCAATCGACTAAATTTTCAATAACCACCAAAAATATCTATTAGTAACGTCCCAACAACGCGTTCATCTAGATAAAACTGATAAATAGCAGATTTTTAGCGATGGCCCCAATCTTAGATCCATAGGCCAACATTAGAGACATTTCCCCTAGATATACAAAAACTAATGCTGTATACTGACTCATGGAACAAAAAGGACACGGGGGGTCTGCCTAAGGCCCCCGTCTGTAAGTATTATTGATATTATTCCCTTGCTGGGATTTTTTAGTACATCTGCGAAAACCCGCAAAAATGGGCTGGAAAAATAAGCTAATCGAAAAATCGAAGCACACTACGTTGTAGCATAACTTTCTGGCAACTGATAGTTGGACATTTTTTGGGAAAATCCAACCCACCCAACTGGATTGTTTTTCCGACATGGAGACCACCCAATTCCGGCCACGTGGTTGCATAGGTGTAGACACCATGTGCTATCTTTCCCCTCTGATAACTCGTGATCTTTATTCTAAAGTACATGATAATTATATACTAGAAGATTCGTGAGAATGTCAGGAATCTGTTGGTGTACTCCAAAGTACAATTTTCCGACTTTCCTTGCATCGTTTTTTCATTTTCATTTCATGCAAATCATTTTCCCGTTGTACGGGTACATGAAGAACATGGCAAGGAAAAGAAAAAAAAACTGTACTAAACACGAATGCGCGCGAGGGGCTTTCGGCTCACTTGATTTCTGCCGACGGCTGACTGAAGCATGTGAATAGTGGATGAAGCCTTTCCCTACATCCTCCATTTCGCCCTGAATGACAATGGGTCCAAATATACACTGGGAAACAAAGTGTTCTCTGCAGGTCGATGAAACTAGGTAGGTTACTTGTGTTTTCTTTGTTTGGAGAAAATATGTAAATATTGTTTGGGAAGCAATATAAGCAATAAGCAAAAAAATCCTCCCATTTTGATATATGGTATAATTGCCATTATCTCAAGAAGCTCCGCGATGCGGATTGATGGTGTGATATGTTGTAAGATGTAGATCTCACCGAGCTGATTCAATTAATAATTACGATATTACAGCCGATAATGACATGACTTTGCTATGATGTATTCAGAAACTTTGCATAACTTATATCAGAAGAAAAAAAATGCATCAGTTAGTTGCAACATGGGGAATTGCTTTCTTCCAAATGACAGTCAAATTTATTGATAAAGCGAAAACATTTCTGTTGTAAAAAGTTAATGCTTCGTTCAGAGTTGGGCACAGTTTAGTTAATTCACTAGGAACATTTTCGAGAGCAACCTGTATTATGAGACATTCATGATTATAATATATTAATTTTACACTAAAAGACTCCTGAAATAAGGTTCCCTCCCCTTGGCTAGTTTTTAACCTGGACATTGGTGGGCGGGCCTAATCTTATGCTTCATAGTGGAGCGTTGAAGACGGTTGGTTTAGGTCTGGCATCGTTGGCTCATGCCGTGACAGAATAGCGTCATGAGCATGCGATGAGGATTACTGAGCTTCCCCTCTCTCATGAACCATTGCATAAGAGAACCAAAGTTCTAGCCTGAAGTGATAGTATCACACTTGTTACTCCTTTATTTGAAAGCCGCGTTGTAGTACGCTTACGTATAGGCACTGACGTTGGGTGCGATACTGGTGGGTTTTGCCGCAAATCACTCTTATTTTATTTATTTTTACGCAGATAGATTTATTTGGGTTTGCAAGGGAATTATACTATTGAAATATTTCAGAAAGTGCCCAACAGTGCTCCTTCTACTTGCGTGACAAGCTTTCGTTGTTGTTTTCATTGAGGTGGTATTACTCAGGGAACAATATTAAACACCACCATGGTATTGTAACTAATCTTATATATGCTTCATTTTGGTTTGGGATAAATGTTTGAACTATGGCTCGGGATTTCCACGGTGGCGTGTTTCTATTGTGACATATCCATACGTAATTTTGTGGGACGATATAGTGGAAACGTGTGAGTGTAGTTGAAGCATATACCTTATATAATTTTAAAATCAGCTAGGAAACTAATTTCAAAGTGAAGCATTTTAGTCACTTGAATGTGTCACCTGGGTCGATCTAAGATATAATAAACATAAATCAAAGTCAAAGTCAAAATTATTTGAAACACGTTAAATTTTAGATTACTTAGCAGTTTAGCACGAGTTATGATTGATTAGGTAAATTAGAGATTTCAATTATTTATTAAATTAGACTAATGAGATATCATAATTATCAAAAGAACTTAAATAAGAAAATTTAGACAGCCTAATAGCATTAAGTAGATTAACAAAAGAGTTAGGATGCGGGGGGTCCGCTTAGGGAGGCAACTAGCCTTTTCATATATTGTCTGTTTATTTTTATGGTTGCTTTAAAATATCAAGATTTTCGGTTTCTTTACATTTTGCAACACAAATCTAGTACTATGTGTCATTTCCTCAAAACCCCCCAATAACCGACCTCTTCAATCCCTTCCTTTTCCCATGGCGTTCAAGTGGTCCGCATAGACTATTCAGCCATTACCCTTCCTTTATCCTCGGTTTTGGATTGACTTGCGCTCCCATTGCCCCACCAAACGCTGCAAAATGAAAATGAAAAAGACTCCTGAAATAAGATTGGAATGAAACTGGTTAGCAGCTATCGATTATCGTTAGCTCCCGATAATCACATTATCATTTTATTGTTTAGAGATTATCGAATTATACTGACGTATTATCTGTAATAGAAGTAATAGTAATAGTGTTTGGTTAGTTTGACAAACCTCGGCAACTATATAGAGATAGTGTAACAGTCAATTTCCGGCAGATATGAAAAGCCAATTCTCATGAGCAGTGATCATCCCTACTTTCAGAAGAAAGAAATATTTATTTACTTCGCGAAGAACGTCGTCAGCTTAGCGTACACTACCGCTCATAAATGTGGGGTTCCCTAGATGTTTCACTTTCATGTATCTCTCATATCTAACAGTAAAGGTACTTTACAACATTATTCGAGAAAGTTGCAAAGATAATACATTTCATTTTATCCTTCATTTCCACATCAAGGTCAGATAGGCTAGGTGATGTAGAACTTTATTTTTCATTTATGTGTTCCCGAACTTATCCTTGGTAGTGGACGAACAGAAACAGTGCAATGACGTGTACTAAAACCGAATATGAGCAACAGTTGTTCGTATTTTCGATTTTCATAAACCGGACCGACGCATCGATCAGTTCCAGTCTACAGCATGATGTGCTCCTTTCTACACATGTCAGTCGGGAGTACGTAGACTTGGAAATATGATTAGCATTCTTATGTTGAACCGGCCTCCCCCGATCCTGCGCCTTGAAGGATGTTTCTTACGGCCATTTCTGAGATCAGAAAATATTTTTCCGGATTTCCGAGAACGCCAAGTAACTGGAGTAGTGATATTTAAGAAAAAAACCGTGATTTCAGTACCTAAATGTGGTGTTCAGCATTTTCGCGGAAAAACTATCTCCCCAATACTTGAAAAATTGTTCCTGTGAACATTCCTTAGATTCGGTAATATTTTTACGAGTTTTTCGAAATGCCAAGTGACCATCTTCATTGATATTTATGTTCAACTGCCGGTGATTTCAGTGAAGGAAAATTAACCTCCATGTGGGTTCATCATTTTTAAAAGAGAACCAGCCTTCCCTGATAGTGCACCTTGAATAATAGGTCCTCAGG